AATAGATTACTTAACCCAGAGGCTGCATATAGATGTTAAATAAGGGCAGAGAGAGTGTAGAGCCCTGAAGGAACCTGCAAGCACTACCACCATAACATTGACTTGAAGTACTCTCTTCTGTGGAGTTGAAGTCCACAGGTCTTAAAGTTGCCAAGGTTGGGGACCCCTGAGCTGTAGGACTAGCTCAGCTCTCCTCTTAGCTTCTGCCTCCTGTCAGGTAACTTGACAGATAGGTAAACCTACCATTGTAAGCACCCTTCTAAACCCAGCCTACATTGCCCAATAGTGTTAGAGAGATTTATTGGTGTTTTTTTTTTCTTGCCAGGAGGTGACTCTGGATGTAGGACAGTGGTTCTAAATCTGTGGCTCGGGACCCCATTTGGGGTCGAACGACCATTTCACAGGGGTCGCCAAACAATGCAGTCCGCCATTTTTTTCCCCTTTTCCTTAGCTGTGCTACTCCCTTTTATTCTGTTGGCTTTTGAAAGCCAATAGAATAGACTCTCTTGAATAGAGTCTAATTCTATTGGCTTTCAAAAGCCAATAGGAATTGTCCAGGCTGTCTCTGCCCTGCTGAGCCCGCCAAAAGTCCCATTCTGCAAATGGTGCTGCACCGGTTGAGTAGTCCTCGACTTACGACCGGTTGGGGGGTCGCGGCATTAAAAAGGTTGAGAACCACTGGTATAGGAGAACCAAGCTTGGGAAATCTATCAGTTCCTTAATTTGACTTGCAGTAATTAAGAAATGAGATAACCAACCATTCACTGACCTCATTACTGTGGCAGGAAGCTTGGAAAGCTTATTGCTTTCCAAATGTTATGAATCTATAATTCTCAGCAACCTTCATGTCTGGCTATGCTGGTTGGAGTTGCTACATGTGGAAGACCGCAAATGCCTAACCCTGATCTATGCACACGTAAAAAATTTAAATCTTCTATCCACTGAGTCAGATTTCCATTCTGCAATAGAATTTTTGTACAACAAACTTTACTGAATACTTGTTTCAGATGTTGAAACAAAATTGCAGTGTGTTCCCAAGGCAGCACGTAATACAATCAATTTAAAATGTATAACAGTATTGAAATTAATACCAGCACAGAGAAGATTAATAGGAAAACCATAAAATATACAAACCACTAAACCATCATTTTATTTCAGTTACTGCTTTCTAATAGAAACAATAATAGTATAGATCAGTACCCAAAACACTTTGGAGAGATTTCAGGGCATTGGGCAGAAAGATTGTTTCTTGGTTGAGAACATTGTTCAGATACAAATATTCTATTGCTTCTGAGCGTAGAGGATGAGAAACATAAAGGAATTTTGCACTGGCTAGAGAGCAATATTGGAAACATGGTAGAAAATGCCTCTTTTAATATACTGAGAGTTTTAGGATGCCAGATTTGAGTGACGTCTTAATGGACTGCTAATTTGCTTGCGATAAACGTAGTCTTTATAGTAGGAGTACTGAATACTGAGGAAGCAACTGCAACTGAATTCCTGTATTGGAGGGTATGGACCTTACCTGACCCAGACAGCATCCATATGCACCCTCCCCTTGGGGACAGGTCAGGATGGGGAGCAGGGGTGCGGTCATTTTGTTTCTCTGTTTAAGTAAAAATCATTTCTGAAAGGATGACCTAATGAGTCAGGGGATGTCTTAACTCATTTTATTGTATACTCTTTAAATTTGTTGTTCTTCTATTTTCCATCTTAACAGAAGTTTATACATTTAGCAAGTATGTTCATCATTGGTACATAATTCCATTTTAAATTCTGTTACATGTTATTCTATACTTGGAAGCTTTAATCCACATTAAACGTCTCTTTGAACTGTGCATAAGAAAACCATTGAAAAATTAATCCCTCTACAGCCAAATGTTCTCTTGCTTTCATCTTCTCCATTTAACAAGATTTGATATTAGCAAGTCTAAATATTTTTCTTTGCTTGCTGTTTCTGTTCCATAAAATGCTTCTTGTGTTGAGGCCAGTAAAACTACTTTTAGGCACAATCTGGGTTTATATCTGTTCCGTAATATGACATTCCTAACATAATGATTTTTGAAGTCTATGTTTGCCTGCAAGTTTGTCCACCTAGTGTTGCTTGGAATACAGAGCAATGAGCTATTGGAACTACCGAGCACTTCTTACATTCGTGAACTTAGGGTTTCACTCACGTAGATTGCTACATGGTGGAAAAAACCCCTATGCTAGCACATCAGGTTGTGCTTTAAGATAAAGTCTACTGAAGGAAATCCGCATATTCAGACCATTATTTTTATAGCATATGACTTCAGAATGTTCTTACTTTCTTACTTATTTTTACTTACTAAAGCCCTCCATCTTCTTCAGAAGATACCATAGTATATCAGAAGCAGCAGTAAATGCCACAGAAGTCAGACAGGCAGTCTGTCTAGGGTCACCTTTGAAATCAGGAACAGATGTGACTCATCACTAGATTTTCTTTTATCAGGAATAAAGGAAAGCAAGATATATATAAATCCTGAAAAATAAATTTATAAAGAGAATTTGTGATTAAACAAATTCAACTTTGCCCATTTTTAGCATTAATGGTTCTTTGTGCATTGTCAAAGTCCATATATCAATGACTGCACCTCCGTTTGAAAAAAACCTGATGAAACCAAAAAAGATTGCTTGAGACATACAGGAGGAACCAGGACGGTCATAGGGCTGTATATAAAGAAGTTTCATATGTTTTTAACATATAAATTTCTGTATTTCTGTTTTTTTTCTACTTTTCTGGTCTACTGTTTTCTATCTTGCTGCAAGGAGATGGTGTGATCTTTTCCCCTCTCTCTAGCTAGTCTATATCTAGACTAAATACAGTAATTGGCCTTTTTCTTTAGGTATTTAGTTACTTCCCACTGAGCAAATCTTAAGCCTTGCTGCTAGACCATCACTTAATTTGATGAAAAGCATCAGTTTTGCTGATTAAATTGTATTTCTGGATTTTTGTATATTGCTTAGCATTGTACAATCATTAAAATTCACATAGTTGCAGCACTTATATTTTATTTGGTAGGCTTGGTGTTTTGCAAGCTTTCTTTTAATAATATGGGCTGCTTTGGGTCAATTTACATCAAAAAGTATCTGCAACAAAAGACCAGGTCTACATGCAAAGATTCAGTTTAACTGATTTATTGCTACAAGCCGCTGCATAGAATCCTTCTCAGCTTAAGATCAGCATCTGGTTAGAGTTAAGTAAGGGTCAATGGCAATCAAGTGGTGGTGGGGGGTTGAACAGTTCATTTGTGGCTATGTAGTGATTCTAGGCTGATCCCTCTTTTCTCCCCTCTCCCTGGCTCTGCCAGTCTTTCCCCTACAAAAAGCAAACACAGAGACAAATTGTGAAGATGATAACAACTCACCATCCATAAACACTATGAGCAGGGATTTTTATTTCACTTCTTGAATGATGGTATTGGAACAAGTTTCATCTGGCAAAGTTCACTCTTTTGCATTAATTGTACAAAAGCCCCACTCTCTATTGCTCCTGGACATCTTAATCCATAATTGTATAGTTGTTTTTTTTTAAGGTAAGACTCTAGCACTGTATCACATTGTATCACTACATAGAGAGACTGTAACTGCATGGCAGTGCACATGCTTTGCATGCTGAAGGACCTGCATTATTATTACCTTCAGGTTTAAAAACAAAAGGTTCTTGGAATGGAGTGAGAAAAGATTTAATTTCTGCAGTTTTGGATAGCTGCCAGAGAAAAGAAACAATACTGGTCAAGTTGGACCCTTGATGATTCAGCATAAGGCATTCTGTTTGTGTTCTAGTAATTGCATTTTGTAAGTAGAAAAATGTAAATCATTTGTGATCCATTGACCTAAATAAACCAAAATATTCCCAAATTCCCGAATTCCCACTACAGCAGCTTTCTATTGCCCAAAAGACTGTAATCATCCCGTCTAAATGCTAAGTGGTTGACTCAGTGCAACTACATCCCCTTAGTCTTCCTAAGATTAACAGCAATAGTAGTGGGCATTTAGACCTTTCAAAAAGTCCCTTAGCTGTAAAATATAATAAATGTATATCAAGATAACACGGGAAGAATCTTTCAACTTATAACAACTTCTAACTGCTTCCTTGCAGTATTACAAATGGAGGTAAATGAAACCAACTTCAAAAATCTAAAGACCTGGCCTATTGGATTAGGGCCATATTGGACTGGAGCTAGAATTAGTATTCTTATTTATTTATTTATTTGTAGGCTGTATGTGTATAACAGTCTGATGACCATGGATTCCCTCTTTCCCCATTTAGCACTGGCAACAATTTCTGAGTTGCTTCCAATGAGGAATTCAGAATTTAGAAATCAGAGTGTCTCACTTGATGAGAAGTAACACTCCAGCATACATGGAGAAAGTAGCATCACTCCTTTGTTCTTTGGCCATTCTTTGTTTTAGGTTCACAGAACTTAATGGTTCAGAGACTAGAACTCCCTCCTACATTATCTATATAATGTTGAACCCATGCTACAATTTGAAAAAAAAAAAAGAAATAATAACCAAGCCCAGGAGCTTGGTCTCATTCAACCATCTACAGGCATTTAGTAATGTGACTGTAATATGATATTAATGACATGGATTTGAGTGCTGATGGCTGAAGGCTTAGACTGGGAAGGCTTGCATTCACTTACAAATCAGTCGTATCAGTGAGTGATATTGGAGCAATTATTCTTCATGTGCAGCCCACTATACAATGAGGCTAAAATGAACTTAGCCTTCCATAAATTTAGCTGATTGATTATTAATTAATTCTTATTATTGAAAAACTAATTGCTGTGCATGTTAATATATTGAAGTTGAGTACAAAACTTTCAATGTATTTTTCTTTCCTTTGTATCCCAAAGATGGTGCTTTCTTACTCATTTCCATAGCCAGCCATATTTCAGTTTTATCATTGGGAGGGAAAGAATATGTGCAGCATGTTTCAGTTTACTAGTGGTTTCTCTTTCCCTTCTTATTAGAAGAAAAAATATAAAGGACAAGAAGTATGGCAGACGATAGGAAAGATGAAGCTAAGGCACCACACTGGACCTCAGGTCAGATAGCAGAAGCTTCTTCACATCCACATTCCGCAGAGATGAAGGAGCAAAGTGGCACAGGGGAAGGACTGGTCAGAAGTTCTAATGGGTTTCCATACAAAGAGGATGAAGCTGGAGAATATGGTGCACATGGACCACAGAGCTCATATTCCAGAACCAAAGAGAATGGAATCAACGGAGAACTAACTACAGGAGAGAAAGACACTGCAGGTAAATTGTCAAAAGACTATTCTTCTTTTGTTCTTGAAATCCTTGCTTTTAAGGAAGAAAGCATTGCAGGGAAAATTTTTCTAGGCAATAGTATTCTATTAACTTGAATCAGTTTAGGCTTCCTCAGGTAACATAGTTATGTTATTAAAAAACACCTGTGTGGGGTATTTGAATTGGGATCCAGTTCTGAAAGTAGGAAGAATGCACTGCACAGAAAGAAAGATATTAACAAGGCCTTACTAGCAAGAGCAGAAACATTGGGCTGAAGTCTAGTTGCTGGGTAGACTCAATGTCTAATTTAGTGTAACAAAGTCATGCTTCTTCCCCCAAATCTAGTTTTCAGAGTGAAACTAATGGCAGAATTGATAAAAAATGAATTCTGTGCTACTTGCAAAATTGTTTTTACAGCAGAAAAGAAAGGGATGCTAGTGTATCATTATAGTCATAATACTAAATGCAGCTAGTAACGTCACATTTATTTATTTATTTATTTATGAGACTTATATACCGCTTTAAGCGCAAGACTCTCTAAGCGGTGTACACCAGTAAGCAATGCATATATATATATATTTATATTGCCCCCAACAATCTGGGTCCTCATTTTACCTACCCCGGAAGGATGGAAGGCTGAGTCAACCTTGCATTTATAATTTATAATGGAATTAACTGAAGTTTAATTGATGAATACGTGGCCAGCTGTAGGGGGCATAGGGAATGACATTGAAGGTCAGGATGAAGAGCCACTACGTTCAATTCAAGTCAAGAAATTAATTTGAATAAATGTCTCAGGCCTTCCTAGGTCACAGGAAAGTAACGTGAGATAGGGGGGGAAACCACATTAAGACATGCAAGAGTCTACTACAGGTACTGTTGGTATTAAAATAAAAGTAATCCTTCCCTATAGGGAAATAGTCCTTCCTTATATTTCTTAGTCTGTCCACCTTGTAGGGCTGACACTTGCTTTGATTAAAGCTTAAGCAGCTATCTAATGTTAATGGCAATAGGGTCTGGTTTTCTTTTAGTAGTTCCAGACTGAAGCCTTACATACATTCTGTATGAAACAATGCCACTTTTATAAATTATAGCAAATCTTGGTCTATTCATGCAATAGACTGTGACTCTGGCATAGATGCCCTCCTTCTGCAGAGGCAGATACCATTTCAGTGCCTTCCAGCTTTCCATAACACAGCTCTATGAATAGAAAATAAACAGATCTGCAGTCCCTTGCCTGCTACATGCTGTCTTTAGTTTTAGCAAAAGAGAACATGTTTTAATGGAGGGGTATGTCTCATATTGTTTGGGATGTGTAGATCAGGCTCAGGAGATAGATAATAAACTCAGGTTAATTGTTTGGTTTGGGTTCAATCACTCTTGAAGTTTGCCATTCTGAAACAAAAAAAAATGTTATATTGTACTCAGAGATGTCCATGTTTTTTTTTGTTACAGTTTTTTCTTCCCACAACCCATCCTACTGAGGAACATCCCTAATTGCACTCGTAAAGGCAATCAGGCTCCCCTGAATAGGGTTTCTCTTTGAAGTACTGTATTGCCATCCTAGAAAGTCAATGAAATTATTCATTCCATCGCAAATGTTGTTAGTAATTATAGCAGAAGGAATTTCTTGCCTTTAGATGTCTTGGCAATTACACAGATTCAAGCAATTTGATTGCTTTCCATTTGCTTCCTTATTGTTGTTAATGATGTACAAAGACAACCAATAAGCTTAGTTGCCATTACAAATCCCAACCCCAACATAAATATGGTCATTTTTTTTTTAAAAAACCCTAAACTATATTTGATCTGGTATTTCATGTATTAAGTTATAAACCTCTATGGTTCTTCAACACAAGAAGCAGTGCTTGATGCAGTACATCCCAGCAGGATGGAATGCTTTAACTACCAGGAAGAACATTTTCTGAAGAAAAAAAAGGACATCTTGGGAAATATAAGTGAGCAGGATAGCTAAGGTGTGATCTTCAGAAATTAAGAGGAAATTCTGAGTAATGAATTACCCGAGCCACCAAAATTTGGGATTATACAATTAAAATATTTGTGTGTGTGTGTGTGTGTGTGTGTGTGTGTGTGTGTATTTGCCAATGTCTTAACTTTAAAAAAATGAGAAATTCGTATCTTTCTAAGAAGTACCAGTGGGAGATATATATTTTTTGTAATAAAACAGCATCACGGTGTATCAGAAGATATATTATAGCAACAACAGTAGAAGAAGAATCGACATGTTAAAGCACATACACTGTGTGTATGAAAGAGCAACAGTAAATAGAGGATGTGGGCTGATTTTAGACAGTATTTTTCCAGTAGGTGGGAAATACTTTTCTATGAATAGAAGAAGCTTTTTGCTAGCTGAAGGGCACCACTGGATCATTAGTATCATTAAAATCATTAGTAACCTATGGAAACCAATAGTCAACTGGAAAATTACATATATCCAATTGAACACTATATTTTTCTAGCCCCAAACCATTACACTGTGTTCAGTTTGTCTGCATATATATATATATTCTGCCTTCTAGTTAGATATATTAGTGCTCAATTTTTCAAAAAAATTCACCTTGAAGACAAGTTATTCCAGAACAAAATATATAATTTTGGGATGTTTTTCTATAGCAGAATACATCTTTTAAACTGCATGCACTAAGCACTGTAAATTCATCTTTGAAACATAAAAATTATGAGTTACTGTATAATTTTAAAACTCTAGACCCTTACATTAATATTTTGTAAATGGATAGTGACCAGTGTAGAAATATATTTGTTTAAAACAGTGGTTCTCAACCTGTGGGTCGGGACCCCATTTGGGGTCAAACAACCATTTCACAGGGGTTGCCAAACAATGCAGTCCGCCACTTTTTCCCCCTTTTCCTTAGCTGTGCTACTCCCTTTTATTCTATTGGATTTGAAAGCCAATAGAATAGACTCTCTTGAATAGAGTCTAATTCTATTGGCTTTCAGAAGCCAATAGGAATTGTCCAGGCTGTCTCTGCCCTGCTGAGCCCGCCAAAAGTCCCATTCTGCAAATGGTGCTGCAAGTTGTCTGCAGCGAAGGTGAGCTGTCTGGAAGATTTCCACCCCTCCCTGCTGAGCAACTACTAAAAATGTAAGTAAAAGAGGGCCAGGGGTGGGAGGTGGGAGGCCGGCGGGCGCAGGGAGGGTTGCTGGCATGAGTGGGGCCCGGCGGGTGCCTGACCTCCCTTGGGCTGGGCCAGCTGGTGGCCCAGCCGGTGGTTGGCCTGCACCGTCTCCGCCACTTGCCAGCTACGCCTCGGCCGGCGCAGAGGGCGGCACCACGCATGCGCGCGCTCCGAGGTAGGGAAAGTCCTCGACTTATGACCCGTTGGGTAGTCCCCGACTTATGACCGGTTGGGGGTCGCGGCATTAAAAAGGTTGAGAACCACTGGTTTAAAATAATGTGAAATAGATTTGGGGGAAAGTCCTTATACAGAAATAGTTATATTTGAAAACTAATAAAATGTCCACTGCTGGAAACACTTTTTGTACATTATTTCATTGTGTTTTCTTTATAACTGGAAATAAAATCTAATCTTAGTTTATTGTATTAGAGCAAGCTCTGAATGAATCGTAGTGTAACTTGTCAGGAAGTTTCAGCTGAAACCAGGAGAGGAAAACAACTATAGATAATGCCTTTTGGGTTGATGGGTATGGCAGCCTTAGTCTCATGTACTCTGCCTCAAGTAGTTTTATTACTATTAAAGTGGCTGCAGTTTTGTAATAATAGGTATTTTCTGCCTGCACTATTCTTATAATGATGGGTACATGTTTGAATTGATCTGTGTATAAAGACACTGTGAAATTGCTGTCACATGGTGAGTCTAGAGTTCCTCTTAATTGCCATTTTACCAAGACTATACATGCAAATGTGTATTTTCTTCTTAACACATTCCATTGTATGTCTTCAGGGCATTACATTTTGTTATAGGACTTTGAGCATGTGATTAAGTATACTTTTTAAAAAAAGTAGTTCTTTTGGAGTTCTTCAGCGTGATTAGGAAAGTGCACATTGTCTTAATTCAATAGCAATAACAATTCAGAGCAATAACATACATCCTCTGCTACTATGACTCCGCATAGATTGTTTAAAATCCACACTTTAGAAGCACTTGATAGTGCAAGGGAAATTGAGTTTGTTGGTGACTCTAATGGTATGTGGGAATGACTTGGGAAAGAGGAGGAAAAGCTACGGCCTAGACCAGAGTTCCCCAATCTTTCCACCTTTGTGGATTGGTGAGGAGTGGAGAGTGGATGATTCCATGTGAGCAGTCGGCAAGCTCCATTTGCATGAGCATGTGCATGCGCAGCTCCATTTGCGTGAGCACGCACACACACAGCTTCATCTATGAGAACATGTGTGCAGTTCCATTTGCATGAGCAGTGGGCACATGGACCCATCGCCCATGGAAATAGAGCATGTGTGCATGCACTCACCCACTGCTTATGTGAGTGAGAATTGACGTGTGCGCTTGCCCACTACTTCTGTGGCATGGTTCTGAATGGTTCAAGGCCCAGAAATGGCTACTGCCTGGGGGGTTGGGGACGCCTGGCCTAGAGCACAGTCTGATCTAGTAAATGAATTCTGAGACTGAAAGGGGGGTGGGGGTGGAGAAACACCTCAGAAGGGACCTCCTTTTGTACTTTATGCCCTTTTCAGAGAGTCAGAGTAAGGCAGGGGAGAGGCACTTTTAATGCCACCTTATAATAAATCTAAAGCTAGTATAGGTAGTTCTCGACTTATGACCACAATTGAGCCCCAGATTTCTGTTGCTAAGCAAAACAAGTGAGTTGTGCCCCATTTTACAACCTTTTTGCCACAGTTGTTAAATGAATCACTGCAGTTGTCAAGTGAATCATGTGGTTGTTAAGAGAATCTGGCTTCCCCCATTGACTTGTATTGGTCAGAAACCAGCTGGGAAGATTACAAATGGTGATCACTTGATCTCGGGACAGTGCAGCCATCATAAATGTGT